TCTAGTTCTAGGACATTTCTAAAAAGAAACTCAATGACCTTTAACAGTCATTCCCCATTCCTCCTACCTCCTTATCCCCGGCAACCACCAACCTACTTTCTATTTCTAGAGATAAGTCCATTCTGGACATTTCATATAAATGGAATCATACAGTATGTGGCCTTTTATGACAGTCTTCTTTCCCTTAGCAGAAGTTTTTCAAGGTTCATCCATGTTGTAGTATCAGTACTGCATTCCTTTTTGTGGCCAAATAATATTCCATTGTATGGATGTACCGCATTCCGATTGACAATTCATTTGTTGGACATTGGGCTGTTTACACAGCGAGTTTCCACGCATTGGAAGTTCTGCATTCTATCCAGCAGAGGGGGCTGTTGGGTCCCAGCCGCTTCTTCCAACAACGGAAAAGGGCGCTTTGGGGAGGGGTTTGCCAGCATCTCTCTCTGGGTTCAGGGATGGCTGAGGTTGCTGGGGGGTGGGGTGTGTGTGTGTGTGATTTTTTTTTTAACACGATAAATGTTTTGTGTGTGTTTGATTTCTAAATAAACTTCAGACCCATATAACCACATCCCAGAAAACGTAGGAAATTAAGGGAGACATCACCAATAATCTTATTTCTTTTTCCCCCTTTAGTTCTTAGATGAAAAACAACAACAACAACAATATCTCTTGGGAGTGATGGAAATGTCTGTTATCTGATCATCACAATGGTTTCACAAGTGTGTTACAAATGTCAAAACTCATCAACTTGCTCACTTCAAATACGTGGAGTTTATTGCACATGAATTCTATCTCAATGAAGCTGTAAAAAAATAAAAAATAATATTTTTACATCACAAAAGATAGGTATTTTCATTATGAAGAATTCAGAAAAACATAACGACAAAGAAAATGAATGTCATTTGCTCTTCAGGGCTCATGGAGGCCCTGGTGAAGTCCAGCTGTCATTCACAGGGGCACTGCCGTCCTCACTGTGTCTGCATCCCTCGGGACTCTTGGGTCCCTGTCATTTCTCTGGCCAATGCCTCTCAGTCTCTCTGCCTCTTCTTCCCTCCTAGTCCAGCCCCTAACCCTTCCTCACTCAGTACCGCTTACCGCTGGGAAGCCAGGAAGAATCTCCAACCCTATGGCCATAAATACCAGCTATTCACTAAGAATGCTCCCATTTCGGTCTCTGGTCTTGACAGCTCCTTGGTGCCCCAATCCCACTCTCTGTGGATGGGCTATGGGCACCTGAACCTCCTCACATGGGCACCCCAGTTTCCCCATCACACTCAATGACCCACTGTCCATGTCATAGTTGATCCTTCCTCCCTCAACAGCTGATCCATCTATATGTCCAGAACAAACCTGGAATACGACCCCCTCTCTCTACTGCCTCGCTTCCACCCTAGTCTAGTTCTGGTATATCAGTGGCCCTCTTCTGGACTGGTGGCACAGTCCCCGCCCACTTACCCTGCTCCCACCCCTACTTCCCACCTGTCCACAAAACAAATCTGAGCAAGTCACCCCACTGCTTATGGCAGATACTGTGGGCTATTTGAATTTAAATTAATTAAAGTTAAAGCAAACTAAAACTTATTTATTTATTCAACGTTGAAAGATTTTATTTTTAAGTAATCTCTACACCCAAAGTGGGACTCCAACTCACAACCCAAAGACCAAGAGTCGCATGTTCCACTGACTGAGCCAGCCAGGCACCCCCAAACTGAATTTTAAATTTTTATTTATTTATTTTTTAAGACTTTTTTTTTGACAGACAGAGATCACAAGTAGGCAGAGAGGCAGGCAGAGAGAGAGAGGGGGAAGCAGGCTCCCCGCTGAGCAGAGAGCCCGACTCGGGGCTCGATCCCAGGACCCGGGACCATGACCTGAGCCAAAGGCAGAGGCTTTGACCCACTGAGCCACCCAGGCGCCCCGACCCAAATCGAATTTTAAATCCAACTAGATTTTTCCAGTTCTTTGGTTGCAGCAGCCACACACATTTTAAGTGTCCGGGAGTCGCATGAGGAAGCTAGTGGCTACTGTTTGGTTCAGTGCAGAGTGTAGAACATGTCCGTCATGGCGGAGGGTTCTATCCGACAGTGCAAGCTTGGAACCTTCCAGAGGCTTCTCCTTGCATTTAGAATAAAAGCCGAACGTCTTACAAGCCTTCTTACAAGGCCCTGCCTCGCCTCTGATGTCACCTCCTGCCACCCACGCCAGCCTCATCTCCTAACCCAACTGTGCTTGAAACACACCCAGAGCTTTATCCTTTCCTCCCCCCAACTCATGTCCATCTTTCTCTCTGGGTTGTGTGCTCCTCCGGGCCACACACACGTTGGATTCTTCTTTCAGCCAGCACTGGCTGAGCATCTACTATGAGCTGAGCAGTGGAGAGTCAGTCAGGAACGAGACAAACAGCTGCCCCAATCCCTTGGGAGTTTAGATCTAGCTGGGGACAGACACCTAATGGGGGATTGAGAGTGTTATGTATCTGGTCCCCATGTTCCTCCTCATTCCTTCCTCCCTTGGGGAGGGATGGATGATAAGAGAACTCCGCAGGAAAAGACCAGAGACCCAGGGTGGGATTGTTTTTAGGAAAGCACCAAGGCTGAGAGGAGTGTCCTTGGGGCCAGAAGAAGTTATCTCACAGGGGAGATAGCCACTATCTTCCGGTCTCTGAATTAAGTTCACTTATGTATACAACTTTTGAGGTGGGGCTAAACTGGGGCCAGTGAACCAGGGAAACCTCTCTAACAGTTGAAGCCTCCCCTCCCAAAGTATCCTTTTCTTTCCCAGGTGATTAAGGATGATATCCCGGATGAGCCCATAATTCCCTGCCCTAGGAGTGGAGGGGTTCCATCAGCAAGGGAAAAAAGCAGTTTGTGCTTTTGGAATTCTCTCTGGAGACAACCAGACAATGGAATTCTGGAAGCCTGCCTGTCCCAACCCACTGGGTGACCTGAGCGGGTCATCTGAGGAAGGCAGCTAATACTGGTCACAGGCCGCTACATGCCACACCCTGTGAGGTCAGGACTTTACACCCTTTTTAAAGAAAAGGTCGCTGAGGATGTGCTGGGATTCCAGCTTCAGCTGTCCACCTTCAAAGTCAGGGCATCACCTCATTCTGTTTCTTCGCCTGCCAAACAGGTTTTGAAGGGTGGGGTGGGGTAGGCTTGCCTGCCTTAAGGCGGGGAGGGTGGTCTGCAACATAAAGGAGCTGGGATATTGGCGACACCGGGCCTCAGGAGGGAGGAGAGGCCTGCAGAGGGCGGCAGTGAGCTGTGCCTGGAAGTGTCTGGCTCAGCGACCCAAGACTTTTCCTGTGACCCTCCCAGGGAACCTTTCAGAGCACCAACCTTAACACACCATCAAGGGAGGAACATCCCATGCCATTTATCATAATGTGATTCATGTCTGCCCCAACTGGGTGCTTTAGAGATGGTACTCACATTTTTAGATACAAGGGTAAAACTGAGGCTCAGAGCAGGAAAGGGAAGTGTCCAGGTCACAAAACCTGGAGTGGGGAAGACCTGAACCAGAGCCAGGCTGGCCTGGCTGATAGCTCTGGGCTCTGTTCCTTCTAGATTAGATGCTGGGGCATCTGTTCTGGGTGGGACTGGACCCAGGGAGAGGGTCAATATAACCCCTTACATCCATGCAGGGACAAGAGCCCTTGGAGACAGGTATCCTTGTTCTCATTTCAGTGCCAAAGGAAACTGAGGCACAGAGGCAGAGGTGGTCAGGACTCAGGCCCAGTTCTTTGGCTGACAAATCCTGTTTCCTGTTTCCTCATCCAGCAGCCTGGTTTGGGCATTTTCGTTTGGGTATTTCGTTTCTGCTGTGTGCCTACCATCTCTGGGATCCCTGGGTACAAGAGATGATTTTGTTTTACTGCCGGCCTTGGGCTGTCCTGTCTTCCACCCAGTCCTGAGGGTTGTGATGGAGACTGGCCACCGCCTCAGCGGGAGACTAAACACCTAACTTCTGAGTCAGGCAATCGGGAAAAACTAGGCTGGCCTCTGAAGCTCAGGAGAGGCCAGTGGACAAATACAGCTCAGGACCACAGGGAGGGCGGTGCGGGTGTTCAGTGACCTGCGGGAAAAATTCCTGTTAATTATCTCTGCGACAATGCCCTGTGGCAGCTGTTGCATCAGTCACTCCAAGACCACAGCGCTGGGGGCCCTTGGCACACAGTCGCTACTGGCTCTGGTGGCCCAGCCTGGTCCTCCCTGCCTCCCTGGATCACCCGCCCCTCCCCTGCTCCCGTGTGAGGACGTGGCCCGGCGGATGGCCCCTAGAGCTCTCAGCCCTGACGCTGGAGAGCGGCTGCCGGGTTGTGGAGACGTGAGGATCCAGGTGTTCCTATTCCAGGAGTGCAGAACTCGCCAGGGCCTCCAAGTCTGACGGCCGGGTTCGCCACCGCGGGGGACTGAGTTTCCCAGGGCGCGGAGACCGAGAGAGAGCAGTGGCCGGGTGGGGGCGCGGCCTCCCGGCGGCCCCTCCCCCCATACCTCCCCACCCCCCTCACACCCCCCTCCCACCCGGAGCCCTCTGCACGGCCCCTTTAAGAGGCCCGCCCGGCCCCGGCAGCCGCGCCGCGGCCACCGCCCCCCGGCCCTCCCCTTCCTGCGGCGCCGAGTGCGGGCCGGGCGGGAGTGCGGCGAGAGCGGGCCGGGCAGAGCGCGGCGCCCGGGAGGCGGCAGCGGCCGGGACGCGGCGCGGGACAGAGACCAGAGGAGCGCGCGGGCGGCGGCCATGGGCTAGCGGCGCCGGGCCGAGGGGAGGGGAGGGCAGCGCCCGCGCCGCGCCGCGCGGAGGAGCCCCGCACACAATAGCGACGCGCGCAGCCCCGCGCCCTTCCCCCGCCCTCGCGCGCGCCCGCCCCCCTCGCGCGCGCCCTCCTCCGCGCCCCGCGCCGCCCGGGGGAGCCGAGCCCGCCGCCTCACCTGCCGCCCGGGAGGGGGCGGGCATTGTTCGCCCGCCGCCGCCGCTGCCGCCACCACCGCCACCGCCGCGCTGGGCCATGGGGGCCGCCCGGCGCCCCGGGCCGGGCCTGGAGAGGTGGTCTCTCCGCCGCTGAGGCGGGCCCCGTGCGCAGCCGGGCGGCGCAGGTGAAGACAGCCGCGCCATGGTGGACCCGGTGGGCTTCGCCGAGGCGTGGAAGGCGCAGTTCCCGGACTCCGAGCCGCCGCGCATGGAGCTGCGCTCGGTGGGCGACATCGAGCAGGAGCTGGAGCGCTGCAAGGCCTCCATTCGGCGCCTGGAGCAGGAGGTGAACCAGGAGCGCTTCCGCATGATCTACCTGCAGACGCTGCTGGCCAAGGAGAAGAAGAGCTACGACCGCCAACGCTGGGGCTTCCGACGCGCCGCGCAGCCCCCCGACGGCGCCGCCGAGCCCCGCGCGTCCGCGCAGCGCCCGCTGCCCGCGCCCGCCGACGGCGCCGACCCGCCGCCCGCAGAGGAGCCCGAGGCCCGGCCGGACGGAGAGGGCTCACCGAGCAAGGCCAGGCCCGCGGCCGCCCGCAGGCTAGGGGCCACCGTGGTCGCAGACCGGGAAGACCGGGGCCCCCCCACCAGCGTGGCGGCGCTCAGGTCCAACTTTGAGAGAATCCGCAAGGGCCACGGCCAGCCCGGGGCGGCGGACGCCGAGAAGCCCTTCTACGTGAACGTCGAGTTTCACCACGAGCGCGGCCTGGTGAAGGTCAACGACAAAGAGGTGTCGGACCGGATCAGCTCCCTAGGCAGCCAGGCGATGCAGATGGAACGTAAGAAGTCCCAGCACGGCCCCGGGCCGGGCCTGGGGGACGCACCCAGGCCCTCTTACCGGGGCCGATCCTCAGAGAGCAACTGCGGCTTCGACGGCGACTACGAGGACGCGGAGCTGAACCCCCACTTCCTGAAGGACAACCTGATCAACGCCAATGGCGGCAGCAGGCCCCCTTGGCCGCCCCTGGAGTACCAGCCCTACCAGAGTATCTACGTCGGGGGCATGATGATGGAAGGGGAGGGCAAGGGCCCCCTCCTGCGCAGCCAGAGCACTTCGGAGCAGGAGAAACGCCTTACCTGGCCCCGCAGGTCCTACTCCCCTCGGAGCTTTGAGGACAGTGGAGGTGGCTACACCCCGGACTGCAGCTCCAATGAGAACCTCACCTCCAGTGAGGAGGACTTCTCCTCCGGCCAGTCCAGCCGCGTGTCCCCCAGCCCCACCACCTACCGGATGTTTCGAGACAAGAGCCGTTCACCCTCGCAGAACTCGCAGCAGTCCTTTGACAGCAGCAGTCCCCCGACCCCGCAGTGCCAGAAACGGCACCGGCAGGGCCAGGTCATCGTGTCGGAGGCCACCATTGTGGGTGTTCGCAAGACGGGGCAGATCTGGCCCAGTGATGGGGACAGCTTGTCCGGCAGGCTGCCTCAGGATGGCACCTTCCATGGAGACGCAGGTGGGTACCTCCACCAGCTTGGGTGGGCACACCTGCACCCTGGCTGGAAACCATTGAAAAGAAAAGGGGTCCGATGACCCGGGGAGGAACAGGTAGATACTTCTTTGGACTGTCCATGTGCTGTTGTGAACGGGAAGGATTCCTCCTGATCCTACACCTGAACAAACGGCCATCCCCCACTTCCTCCTGAATGCAGATTCCCAGTGTTTGGACTGGGATTGGGTTGGGAGGGGCAGTGTGTGGACATGGTAGGTGGCTGTTCCTTTGGTTCTAGAGCGGTGGGCTTGTACGATTCTGTGGGTTGAGACCAGGGTGCCCTGGGCAGTAATCTCCTCACCCTTTGATCACTCCATCTAGGCAGTGGGGGTCGTATTAAGAGGGGGCCATCTCTGCCTTCTAGATCAGGTACTTTCAGTGGGGATTGATCTGTGTCTCGGGAATTCCCCGCCGCCCCAACTGTTCCTGTCCTGGAAGACACTAATGGGGAAGCTAAGATGTTGCTAGCTGCTCGCCCAAGGCATAGAAGTGTCAGGTTTGCTTGCTAACCAGCCGCCCAAATGCAAGTCAGAGCAGGTAAAAATAAGAATTAGGAGGAAGCGAGGTGACAGGCAGTTCTGACTCAGTGGGCCCCTGAAAATTCACGGGGGTGAAGATTTTATCCAGGGCTGAAACAGCGCCACACCTTTTCTGATTTGCCTGGCTTTGATGGGAGGCATACCCATCATTACTCACCCGTAGTCTCCTGTGTGCCTCTTACCCCAGCTCCATTTTCTCATCCTTCCATCCACTCTTGCCTCCTTGTCTTCCCAGGAATGAGTGTACAGTGGTGCTCATTTTGGCCTCCTAATCCATGGTGTGACCCTTGGCCCTAAGATTAAACCTGTGGGGTTGTGTATAGAACTTCTGGGGTGATGGGTTTTGGGGTCCAGGCATGGTTTGTAAGATTGGAGTAAGGAGAGGGTGGGTGGGTGTGGGGCTTCGGTGGGCTGGTCAGGGGTTGGATGTGAGGCTGTGGGAGGACTCTTGGTGTCCTGGTCCCTTTTGGGCTGATCCAGTTTTCTGCTCCATTGATTTTTCTTTTTCTGCTGATGGAGTTGTACGTGCTTCTATCGTCAGAATCCTCTTGAAACAAGTAAGGCTATTTTTGGCTCTGTCAAGTGGCCTTTTTGTGATTGGTGGTCTTTTGTGTGTGTTTTAGAGACATCCAGTTACTGATTTACGTTTCCAGCTGGGGGTGGCTGTGGCTTGCTGCTCAGACCTGTGGCCTGACCCAGCTGCATCCCTTAGGTCCCTCACTGGGGGGTGGAAGGCTGTAGTATTTAGAAGCCTGCTTTACAGGCACATTAGCTCCCCTGGGGTCTGGAGGATTGCCCTGTGGTCACTGGGCACCATCCTTGTCTGGCCAGCTGTCGACTGAGTGAGCTAGCTTGAACTGGCCCTCATTTCTGGGACGTGGGAGAGCATTATTAAAATAGAGAAAATGAGAGGTTTTCCTGGAGACCTAGAATCTGAAATGGTATTCTCTTGCTGATGGTGAATTCTGAGTTTCCAGAAAGTGGGGGCTGGTCAGACCAAATGTGTTCCGGTAGGTTGCCCTTCAGTCCCTCTTCCCTTCTCATCAGCAGCTCCATCCAGCCTCTCATAAAGCTGCCGCAGGCGTGGGACCCTGGATCTGTGTGTAACTCAGGGCAAGCTCTCAGGAAATGGCCCAAGGGTGAATTTTACAACTTGGACCTCACTCTTAGGATTTTCTGGATCTTTCTCTGAATGTCCTCAAGGCCCCATGTTCTCTCTCCTGTTAGGTTTTAAAAACTGGTTTTCAGCTCTGTACTCAGCACTCTTCTGAGCCTTGTGGCTGGAGGTGAAGGAAGGGAGTCTGTGCTGGCAAAGCCATCTGCCTCTTTCTGGACTGTTTCCTGATGTTCTTTAGACGGCTGTGGGACCTGCTGGCCAGGGCTGTGCCCTGCAGAGGGACAGTAAGGAAAACTACAGTGTGGGAGGGAGTGGAAGCACCCTAATTTTTCACAGCAGCAGACATGGAGGCCCAGCTCTTATGGCTTCAGAATCCCTTTGGATGAGGTGCTCTCGTGTATTTCAGTTGAGGGCCCCTGGCGTTGGAGGGAAGAAGCTGGAATGACCTCTGTGTGCCAGGCATGGTGGCAGCATGCCTTCATGCAGGGCCCCTCACAGGTTCTTCCATCACCCCGTGGTGGGTCTGCCCAACCATAGGTAAGGACAAAACCAGGAAGTAGCAGAGCTGGGATTCCAGGGGTTCCAAGTCCCTGTGGGAGTGCAGATCCATTCCTTCCCAAATATGGCCACCTGAGAGTACTCTCTGAATCGCCCTGCATTGCACCTGAAAATCCTGACTGGGTTGGCCCGGGGGTCCTTCCCCTCCGCACACTCAGGATCCATCAGCTGTGAGCCCTGCTGTGTGCAAGCCCTTCCCTTTCTACATTGCGGGCTACATAGAAGGGGAGTATGGTTCTTGCCATCTGGGACCTTCCACGTTGATGGGAGACAGGAACACACACAGCACTTATGTGTTCAGAGGGAGTGAGATCAGGGAAGCTTCCGGAGGCAGCTGTGCTGGAGAGAGGGCTTGCCTGTCAGCACACGTCCAGCGGCAACAGGCGGGGGAAGCTGAACGCCCTGAGATGGGTGCGAGCAAAGGCTCAGGGGGCACCCATGTCAGGCTCCTGTGGCTCTGAACTGCTTTCTTTTTTTTTTTTTTTGTAATAAAAAATATGTAACAAAATTCACCATTTTAACCCATTTGAGCCATTTTTAACGTGCAGCTCGGTGGCATTAAGAACATTCACACCGTTGTGTGCCCATCGCCACCCTCGTCTCCAGAACTTTTTTCCTCCTCTTCAACTGAAACTGTCCCCACTGAACAGCAGCTTCCCATTTCCTCTCCTTGAGTTCCTGAAAACCGCCACTGTGCTGTTTCCTAATTTGACTATTCTTAGTACTTCTTGTAAATAGTCATACAGGATCTGTCTCTCTGTATCTGGCTTATTTCACTTAGCAGCATCTCCCCAAGGTTAGCCACATGGTAGCACAGGCTCTGCATGTTTTGAAGGCAGGATGATGGACCTCGAACTTAGAGTCCCGCGATCAAGAGTCCCGTGCTCCACTGACTGAGCCAGCCAGGTGCCCTACAGGTCTGAGGAATTCTTGATCTGAACGCTTAGTGTCCCGGCTGTCCCTCGGTCCCTTTCCAAGTATCAGTCATGAGACTGGACCCCAGATCCTGTATTACTTTATGGGCTCTCATACAGGTTGCTGCCCTGTGTTTTCACATCTCTGTTAAGCACTTTAATTTGGTCTTTGCATTCCGCCAGTGTGTAGTGACCAGAATGATCAGTGCTTTGTTTCTCCCTTGGGTGATTGAATGGACCAGCCACCAGTTAGACTGAGTAATTCTGGGCCAGGAAAAGGTCACTCAGGCCTTGCACTGGCTTGATCATCATCTCTTTAAATCAGACCCCGTGGTCCCCTTTGAACTGACTATAGTCTGCTTTCCATAAACAGACGCAGGGTGGACAGAACCAACCAGGTGGAGTCTGAGACCGTTAAGTCATCAACAGGGTGGAAGTGGAGTCTAGTTCAAATTTTACGAGGGTTTTCTGATTCCAGAATGGATGGCTTCCTTGTTTGGGGAACAGAATGAAATATTCTGGAACCCTTCACTAAGGAAGGAGCTAGCTGGGAGTGCTGTTGCTTTGTGTGGGTCCAGGACAACGTGCCTTCCCCATTCCTCCTTTTTACCTCATTTGTTACTTCTGGCTTCAGTAGCCACCTCCCCTCCTTGACTGGGAGTCCTGTGGTCCTGTTTATGTGACTGCGGCCCTCACTAGGACAAAGCATTCGTGTGAGCCATATTCTTGGTCCAGTCGGGAGAAGACATGGCAATGCTTGAGGCCCAGGGTGCAGCTGACTATTGTGGTTTGGGGGGCTTCCTCATTCACAGTGAATGGATAGGCATTTTCAGGTGTACTCAAGTTGTCAAACAACAGGCCTGAGTTTTGACGCAGCTGCCCCGGGTTTTTGGGGTTTTTTTTAGATCTATTTATTTATTTTGGAGAGAGAGCACAGGTGCACGAGTGGGGGGAGGGGCACAGGGAGAGGGAGAGAGAGAATGTCAAGTAGACTCCCGGTTGAGTGCAGAGCCTGACAGAGGGCTCGATCCCATGACCCTGAGATCATGACCCAGGCCAAAACCAAGAGTCAGATGCTTAACTGACTGAGCCACCCAGGCACCTCCACGGCTGCCTTTTAGATCAAGGTTCAGGAGGTAATGGTGGTGCGTTTAATTAATTAAATTATAGTCCCACTAGGGTCCCTCACCTTGACTAGGATACTATGACGTAGGATTTTGTTTTGGGGATTTTTGTTTTTTACTTACTGTTTTGTTTTGTTTTGCTTTGAAAACAATGGAGTAAATTAAGTTAAAATGTTACTTATGTAACATGATAGGTTTGTGTTTCTTTACTGGGGTATAACATACGTAACCAGATGTGTCATTTTAACTGTTGTTAAATTTATAATTCAGTGTCATTAAGTACATTCAAATGGTTATGCAACCATCACCACCGTCCATAGCTGGAACTTTTTCGTCTTGGGAAACTGAACTCAGCGCTAACTCATCTTCCCTCTACCTCAGTCCCTGGCAGCCACCGCTCTTCTCTCTGTCCATGTGAGTTGGCTTATCCTAGGTCCCTCATGTCAGTGGAGTCACATAATAGCTGTCCTTCCGTGTCTGGTTGATTTCACTCAAGTAGGGTTTTGAAGTTGCCAGGAGCAGTGTTCTCATCCTTAATTCCCATTTCTGGTCCATAATAGGTATGTTTAGGAAAACACCTGTTAGTCATGGTGCTACTTCCTTGGCTTTCACACCCACGTTTTGAAGTGGCCCCAGGTATTAGTTTGCTAGGGCTGCTATGACAAAACACAACAGGCGGAGTGATTCAAATAACAGGAATTTATTTTTCCTT